AAAACAAACAAACAAACAATCAAAAAATTGGCTTTTACCCACAACTTGCAAAGCTGTGGTCAGTCTGGACTATATAGAGCAAGACCCTATCTCAAAACACCAAAAACTAAAATATAACAAAATAAAATAAGGTTTTAAAATAGAGTTATTTACTATTTCATATGACCAGGTGTTCCAACATAGGGTGGGTTCCAGGTACAGTGTGTCAAGCCTCTTGGGGGGCTCTGTCTTCTGTGATTTTTCTTTGTCTCTCATTAATAATATCATCTCCAGGCTAGTCACAAAATGACTGCAGTATTTTCAGTACTTCCCATTCAGAAACACCCAGTCCAAAGAAATAGAACAGCCTTTTATTTTCTCTTACAAATATTGAACACCTTTCTCGCAAGTGCTTGTAGAACTATCTTGACGTTTCATTGGCCAGAACTAGGTATCATGTTCATTCCTAAACCAATCACAATGAATGGAATCTCCCACTGGGATTTATTTAGCCCAATCAGAATTTAACTCTGTATCTGAGATTTGTGTAGGAGATTTAAAGTACTAACTATCAAAACAGGCCTCAGCAGGCAGTGAAGAAGGGTAAGGATGCTCTGGTCCTCACTTTGAGCGTCACTTCCAGGCTCCTGTCAAATTGGCGCAGACCCTTCACCCCGCCAGGTGCAGACTCTCCAGCTTCCGCCACTGGCCCGTGGGCCTCCCCCGTGCAGATCCTCTTTCTGGACTTGCACGAGACATAGCCGTGGGCTCTGGGCCACTGGCTGGACTCCTGGAGGACATTGCCTTGGACTCTAAGCCTGCAGCTCAACTTGTCGGGGACATTGCAGTGGGATCCAGGCCCTCGGCTAGATATTTTGGATTTCTAGTGTGTGGACAGATCTCTTACACTCCTGCATTTGACTTTTTTTGGTGAATATTATAAAATAATTCTGTAAATCATGTGTCCTGTATTAAATCTGTTCCCTTGCAAACCCTGAGTACAAAAAAAGCCAGGGATTTAGTTCAGTGGCACTGTGCCTGTCTCACAAGTGCAAGGTCCTGAGTTCAATCCTCAGGACCCAACCCCCCAAAAAGCTTTTTTTCAGGGTCTCTTGCTATGTAGTCCAGGGTGGCCTTGAACTATGTAGCCCACATTGGTCTTGAACTTTCCACAACCCGCTTCAACCTACCAGGTGCTGGGGTTACAGGCTGTATCATCATGCCTGTCTACAAGGCTAAATTGGTGGGGGGTACTGCGGATGGAACTTGGGCCCTTGTGCTTGCGAGGCTGGCAGTGGAACCATTGAGCCAAATCCCTAGCCAAAGCTAAAATTTTTGAGCTTGATCAACCACCAGGGATCTCTTCTTGAAAATTTAAATATAGGAAGTTCTTTTGTTAGTTTCTAAGGGAGAGGGGAATCCTTTTCAGATGGTAACCTTTGGATTCTTAATTTTTGTGCAGCTCTCACAATCCTCCATCTTCTACGGTGAACACATCCAACTTCAGCCTTCCATTGGAAAAAGGGCCTCTGCTTATGTCCATTGCCACCCAAACTCCCCACTCTTTGCTGTCTCTCCACCCCAGTCTTATTCCGATCCCCTGGCACTGCCTGGTCCACTAAGAGGACACTGAAATCCTTAATCTCTACCTGTACCTGGCACAGTAACTGGCCTCTAACAACCTTTCATCTTGTTTTTCTCTTTATTTTAAAACTGTTCCTTTCCAGACATCCTGGGGAGTTTCCACAGGGTAAACACTCAAGCAAGTGTTTATCATGGCCTCGGGAGTGGCCCAGGGAGAAAGTGCTTGCCTAGAATGCGGGGGACTCTAGTTTCAATCCTTAATGATGCAAGAAAAAATAAAGGGGCTTATTGAATGAATACATTTATTCTGTTCCTTTCCCATCTTTTCCTTTTTTTATTTTCTTTTTTATGTGGTACTACTGTTGATTGATTGAACAGAAGGCCTTTTCACTGAGCTATAGCCACAGAACCTTTAAAACGTTTTTTTTGTTGTTGTTATCTTGAGACAGGGTCTTGTTATGCAGTTCAGGTTGGCCTTGAATTCATGGCAGTCCTCCTGCCTCAGACTTCCTAGTGCTGGGATTACAGGCGTGCACCACTGTGCCTGGCTATTTTTGTTTTTTGAGACAGGGTCTCACTATGTAGTTCTGTCTGGCCTTGAACTCACTATGTAGCTGAGGCTGACCTCAAACTCACGACAATTCTCCTGCTTCAGACTCCTGAAACTTTTCAAAAGAAAAAAATTTTTCTTGAGACAGTCTTGCTAAATTGCCCAGGCTAGATTTGAGTCTACAACCCTCCTGCCTCAGCCTCCTAGCGTTCTAGGATGACAGGTGTGCACCACTACACCCAGCTTCCAGTCTTTTACACATGCCTTTGGTTTCTTTTGCTCACTCTTAGACCAATGGCTGGTATGCACTGATTCTGTTTCCTGTTACCTATTTTGAAAAATTTTTGAAGACCTCAATAAACACCATAAAACACACCTGCTTTTTTTGTTTTGTTTTTTTGGTACCGGGGATCGAACTCAGGTCCTTGCACTCGTGAGGCAGGTTCCAGAACCACTGAGCTAAATCCCCAGCCCTTTCCCCATTAAGTTTATTGGTACTTTCAAAGCAAACAATACAGTTTACATTTATCATTGGGATCTTGTTCCTTTACATGATATATCTTGGTTCTCGTTTTTTCCCATACCCCTGCCCTCCCTTCACCCACTTCACCCTTCCCTATGTTTTCTGTCTCAGTTTCTTTTTAAAAAAAAACTTCAGCTGGGTGTGGTAGTGCACACCTGTAATCCCAGCACTCTAGGAGTCTGAGGCAGGAGGATTGCCATGAGTTCAAGGCCAGCTAAAACTATATAATGGGATCCTATCTCTCTTACATAGACACTCATTTAAATGGACCATATAATATATAATATATAATATGTAGTTTTCTGTGTCTGGCTTCTTTCACTTAGCATGATGTTTTGAGGATCACCACTGTGGTATGCCTTGTCACTCAGTTCCTTTTTATTGATAGTCTCTTATGAATGTTCTACATTTTCTTCCTCCACTCACCAATTGATGGGCATTAGATTGCTTTCACTTGTTGGGTATATGAAAAATGCTGTTAAGAGCATCCACTCGCACATCTTTGTGAGGTCATGTGTTTTCATTTCTCTTACATAGATTCTTAATGGCCGAGTTGCTAATATTAAACGTCTGTGCATAACTTTGTGGGGTTTCTTGTGTGGTTTTGTTTGTTTTTTGAGACAGGGTCTCACTATGTAGTTGAGACTGACCTGGAACTATGTAGCCCAGGCTGGTCTCAAACTCACAGTGATCCTCCTGCCTCAGCCTCCTGGGTACTGGGATTACAGGCATGCACCACCATGCCCAGCTTGTGCATAACTTTTAAGAAACTACCAAACTGTTTTCTGAGTTTGCTGTACCATTTTACATTACTACCAGCAGTGTGTGAGGGTTCTGGTTTCTCTACATCCCCATCAACACTTGCTGGGTCTTTTTTAATCATAGATGTTCTAGTGGGTATGAAATAATCAGTGCAGTTTCAATTTGCTTTTCCCTAATGGCTGATGATGTTGAATATCTGTTCAATTGCTTATTAGCTATGGCTTTTCAAAATTTTGTTTTTTTGAGACAGAGTTTTGCTGTGTACTTCAGGCTGGCCTTGAATTCATGGTGATTCTCCTGCCTCAGCCTCACAAGTGCTGGGATTACAGGCATATGCTACCATGCCAAGTGTGTTTGCACATTTTCAAATTGAGTTCTTTCTCCCTTCCTTCTCCCCTGACCAGTACTGGGGATTGAACCCAGTCTAACAGACTGAGGCTAACTAGCTTTCAGGGTAGGCCTTGAAGTACTATACTTCATAGGCTGACCATGAATTTCTAGAATCAGCCTACTGCCAGATCCTCGCTAATAGGTGTGTATTTGTGAGATGTGTCTAACATCTAGATGAACAAAAATGTGGTTATTATTTTGATACACTGACCCTCAAAAGTCAGGTGTTTTCTTGTTTTAATATGGAAGGTTCTGCGTATGTTTTGTTTTGTTTTGTACTGGGGATAGAATTTGGGCCCTTGCGCTTGCGAGGCAGGTGGTGGAACCACTGAGCTAAATCCCCCGCCCCTGGCATATGTTTAGACTGTTGTATATACTGCTATCTCCCCACATCTTAAAATAGTCCAGGCTTAGGGTGTCATAGGTGCTCATTAAGGATGCATAAGGAATGAAACTTTATGGAGAGTAACTTAACAGCTATTAAAATTTAGAATGTACACACCCACCAATTCCGCTTTAGGCATTTAGTCCACAGATATCCTCCTGTGTGTGCAAAACCAAGAACACACAAGTTTTTTTTTTTGTACAAGGTTTTTGGCTGAAATATTGTTTGCAATTGTGACAAGAAAAAGTTAGCAAAGTTCAACTTTTAAAATAAATCACCTAAATCTATATAGTGAAATAAATGGGGTACCTATGTAGATACAGAAGGAGCGCTAATTCTGAAAATTCTTTTGCTCCCTTTGGCAAATATATATGAGACATGAATAGCCTATGGTCCTGGCGTTTCCACTACATAAGTGGTCTGTTTTAGTTAATAAAGATAAATAGGTAGAAAGAATGAATTGTTTCTAAAGTTTTATTTAATGAGTGTTAATGTCCTTGTAGAAAACATAGGATTTCCATTTTTTTTTTTCAATAACCAGAATTGAACTCAGGACCTTGTGCTTGCCAGGAAGGTGTGGCACCACTGAATCACATCCTTGGACCTAGAAAATACAGGATTTCTTCCAATTAAATACCATTCTAGTAAGAACAAATGTATCTGTACACAGCCTGGTTAAACAAAGGTCCTCTCTTTGCCTCCAAATTCCTTGCTCAAACTGGCAGTTCTATTGCTCATGTGTTATGGGTGGATTTCCCATTTGACAAACTGACCTCTTCACCTATGGGAAGAGGCTCCGGGTTCCACAATGTCTGTAGTGTGTATTTCCTGATCCTGGAGGGGCAAAATTCCCCTGCTGTTTGTCATGATTGTCCACTGGCAGCTACAGGGCACTTTGCGGGGGACCCTGTCACGCCAGAGTTAAACACACACAAAACAGAATTAAATACAAATAAAGACACACAGGATAACTCCCTGTAACCATAAACACCTTCTGATCTTGTCAAACTAAATTTGCTAAAATACATTTTTTGAAAAATTTCTTGTCATTTTACCACTTTCCCTTTTTTTCTGGTTGCTCTCCTGTGGAATCCTACGTAAGCTTTTAGCTAAATACTGCCACTGCAGGACCAGGCAAAGCCCCACCTCTCTAATAAAAGGAAAAGTCTTCCCTGACGATTTTCCCCTGTAGTAACTTAAGCTCTGACCTTCTTTGGCCTTTGTCAAGCATCTGCCTCTAACCCTTTCTGCTGCTTAGAAGTTTTATGTTCTTTTCACAAGTCCTCTGAGTTATCTTCTAATTAGTGTGTAAACTCCTTACCGGCAGACTCCTATACTGTTTTTCCTGTATTTCTTACACACCTACATAATAGGTATAAATGTCTTGGTTTTACAACCAAGGGTTCTTTATAGATTTTTCTAGAATCAGTCTGTGTTGTTTGTAAAAACACAGGCGTGCTGCTGGCCCGGTGAGTTGAGTGTCCAGTGTTAAAACTCATCAGCTGAGTCTGTGTCCCAGCTGCAGGACTGCAGTTCATCCTGTGCGAACTCAACTTCGATGTCGTAAACAAAATCTGGGTCGTCCTTCTTCTTCCGGTTTTTCTCAAAGAGCTCGTCCATAATGCTCTTCCTTTTGGCAAGCTCCTCGTCATCCAGTTTGTTCAGGTCTTCCTCAGGATCAATGCTGGTTTCCCGCTGGATTTGTTCCATCGTTGTTGCCAAACTCTGTCCGCATAAGTGACCTCGTAAAAGAGCAAACAACTTCTCTAGCTGCTTTGGGGATACCTGTTCCAGGTAACTCTTGTGGCGTGGATTATTCTTTAATTGTTCAGCAGCTCTGGTGCAATCTAAAAGGGAGAAAAAAAGAACCGTGTACTGCATATATCGTGTACACCACAATTCCTACACCACAAACTATTACAAGGTCCAGAACAGAACAAAAAGCTCCAAACCCTGAAATCATTGTCTCCACGATAGCCCAATGGCTAAATGGCTTCACTGGAATGAATTATTTTATAGAATTCTTCCTTGTAATAAATTGAGCTTGAGTGTGGAGTTGGAAAGGTGCATATATTTTTTGACTTCTGTAACTCCAAATCACTTGATAGAGATGCTAAAAGCTTCCACATGAAGAAAATGTCTGAGAATTTAAAATGACATTATAGCTTCAGGCAGCAGTGGTGGTATTAATAAAATATTGGGACTATAAATTTAAAAATTTGGAGGTAGAGACAGGAATTAAATTACTGAATAATGCGGTCTTATTTAACCCACAATACTCCTCAGAAGATTAAATCATCAATTATCCACCTGGAAAAAATGATCACCTTTTTTTTTTTTTTTTAAACGGTACTGGAGATTGAACTCAGGACCTTGAGGTTGCGAGGCAGGTAGATGCCACTGAACTAAATCCCTGGCCCTCCAGTACCTTTTGTACCTTAGGAAACTGAAGCTCACTGAGAGTACATAATTTTTAAAGTCACCCATCTTGTCCCTGGCAGAGTTGTGATTTGATCCTAAGTCTGTGGACTCCGAAGGCCCTGACAGCACATTGCAGGAGACTGCTCCCATTCGGTGATTTGGAGAATATCTCACGTAGGAGATAAAATGAAGCATGAGGTACCTGAGAACTTGGAGAAGTTTCGGACCGGCATGATGCGCTGGCGGTTCTTCCCCTTGACTTCATTCTCATAAATTAAGATAACAGCTGGAGGCTGGAATCTAACTCCACACTTCTTGGCAGTGTACATCGTTCTTATATATATTTCAGGATAAATCAGAGGAAATCCAATGCAAATGTGTCAGCTACACAGTAATTTCCTGCCGAAGGGGGGGAAAACCCATAATACCTAGGTGTTGAGCGAATCTCTTTCCCTTTATTCCTCCTCCCCAGCAGGGCTGGCTGTGGTCCAGTTCTAGAAATATGTGCTTGGCCTGGGAAATTCAATACCTTGAGGCCTGGAAGTTAACCCCTGTTGGGTCTTTCAGGCTCTGGTTCATTGAAGAATGTTTGTTCACAGCTTACCCTGGAAGTGCAATCCCAGCTTTAGTGTATGTGCTGCCAAAGCAAGTACTATGCAATTCACTTTGTGTTTAGTGTAGTGGGCTCTTATAGAAGACTGTATATGAATCCCCAATTTAGCTCAATGACTGAATGACAGTGTCTTTTCTATTTTATTTATTTATTTGGTACTGGGGATCGAACTCAGGACTTTGTGCTTGCGAGGCAGATGGCAGAACCACTGAGCTAAATTCCTGTGTTTTCTATTTCTATTTAAATGTCCTGGTCTATATCAAAGTACTGTACATAACCTTAAACATTTTGTCCTGAGAGATTCACCAGACTAGATATGTCTCGCTTGTATTTTCTCAATTATTTTACTCATTAAGAGGTGTTTTTTTAAATTACTTGTTTAAACATCTATCTTCCCTTCTAGTCTCTGCTGCTTGTACTCTATATAAGGAGCATATCTATTTTTTCATCACAACCTCTCAGCACAATATCTGGAATATATAAGCACTATACACATACTTGTTTAAAGCTATGTATTAATATATAAGACACAGTTCCTGTATATCACTTAAGTATTTACATTTTAGAAGTCTGATCCAAAATGCAGACCTGAGCTGGGCATGGGGACATACTACTGTAATCTACACTATTTGGGAGGCTGAGGCTGGAGGACTGCAATTTTAAGGTCAGCCTGGACAACTTAGTGGGACTCTGTTGAAAAATAGAATGAAAAGGACTGGGGCTATAGCTTGGCAGAGTTCTTGCCTAGCATACATGAAGACTTGGGTTCAATCCCCATTACTGGGGGTGTGGGAGGGCAAAGGAAGATCTGATGGAGAAATCAACCTGCTGGTCAAGACAGCAATGTTTACATTTTATGTGGCTTTTGTTCCAATTTATTTATCTCACTATATGATATTTTTCCAATTATAAGAAACACTGCTCTTTGCAGCTTACATACTTTCTGTTCTCTTTTTCCTTCCCCACCCTTAGAACCAAACTATATTTAATTATAGGAATTATTTGCTTTTGATGAGGCTATCATAGTCTCAGGAAGATTTGCAAATGTCAAAAATTTTGGCATAGGGTGACATCCTCATAAATTTAGTTTTGTTGGAGAATCACTACAGGATCATAGTTTTAAAAAGTTTTAGCCAAGCATGGTGGCATACATCTATAATCCCAGCACTCAGGAAGTTGAGACAGGAGGGCTGCCATGAGTTCGAGGCCAATCTGGGTTATATAGTGAATTTAAGACCAGCCTCAACTACATAGTGAGATCCTGGCTCAAAAAACAAGCAAACAAAAAACAGTAATTATACATGTGCATTATGAAAAACTGAGGGAAAGACAGAAGAAAATATCACCCAGTCTTTATTTCCTAGGCATACGGTTTAATTTTTTAAGTAACAACAGATTGTATATCATTCAGTGTTTCCAGACTTATAAAATTTAGCCCATATGATTATTTCATTGTTATATTTTTTACTAAAATACAATTTAAAATTACCGATTTATCTTATAGATATACCATAATCTATATTATCATTCTTATTGTTGGATGTGACAATTTTTACTCTTATAAAGTTAGTTATTAAGAATGACTTTATCTAAGGACTGGGAATTTTGCTGAGTGGTGCCATGCCTGTCTCGAAAGTGCAAGGTCCTGAGTTCAATCCCCAGTACTGCAAAAATAAATTAATTAATTAAAACAAGAATGACTATCCAGCTGGGTGTGGTGGCACATGCCTGTAATCCCAGCACTAGGGAGGCTGACGCAGGAGGATTGCTGTGAGTTTGAGACCACCCTGGGCTTCATAGTGAGTTAGTTCCAGGTCAGTCTCAATTCTACATAGTGAGACCCTGTCTCAAACAAACAAACAAACAAACAAAAGACAAATCTTTTTTGGGGGGAATGCCTAAAAGAATTGAAACTAGTTACCTATGGAAAGGGGTACGGCAGAGAACAATAATAGTTTTGTTGTTATTGTGCTAATCATGGAATTATTTTCCAAAGAGTACAAACAATACTGCTATTTTCAGTGTGAGACAGACACACACTCTCTCCTCTCGAGACATCTGCCCTAGAGCTCTGTTCTGTTTCATTCTGCACTATATGCTCTCTAGGCCTGCTCACAGGTTCAGCCCAGTTCAGGACCAGGGACTGCACGTTTAATCTTGCTCTTCTTGGACGTGAAAACCGTCCTGCCCAGCGATTAGACTGTCAAGATTTCGGTAAGTATCCCCCACCCCTTCTTCTAACAGCATCTAATGGGTACAGATATCTCAATGACTTTCGCTCTTTTCCCTACTCACGTCCCCACCGTGCAGGAATGACTTTCTTACCCTTACACCAATACAGAAAGTGCATCTTCTCCTGCAGACCAACGTCTAAACCTCAAGAAAGCGTTGTTTCCATTCAACCGCACTGCACAGAGGAGCACTTAAATCGCCTTTGACGCCAGAGGCGACAGTCACAGCCAGGTGACGTGACGGTGGGGTGGAGCACCCGGCAGACGAGGAGGAGGTCGCCGGGACTGCAGCAAGCTGTCTGTCTTCCTGCACCACTAACCCCACACATAAGGAGGGGTGTGCCCCGCCGTTCCCAAGGCAACATCCCGGAAGTGCGTCACGATGATTGCGCCACTGCTCGGCGCGCCCGCGCACTGAGGGGCTGGGGCTGTGGGAACAGCTGGATTGCGGGCACGCGCTCTGAGCCCTGCACCGCGATCTCCAGGTCCGCGGCAGCGCACTCTCGGGCGTAGACAGGCTCCTCTTGCGTCCACAGCTCGCCCCGCACGCCCTTCGCGGCGTCCAGCCTCCG